ACACAACCTCCCTACATCTCATTGTAGGGAGAGGAAAACACAACCTCCCTACATCTCATTGTAGGGAGAGGAAAACACAACCTCCCTACATATCACAGTAGGAAGAGGAACACACAACCTCCCTACATCTCATGGCAGGGAGAGGAACACACAACCTCCCTACATCTCATGGCAGGTAGGGGAAACAGTTTGGGAGGTGGGTAAAATGTGGGTGAATGACTCCTGGGAAAAGCAGACAGAGTGTTTGAACCTCTATATCCCAAATCTCAAACCGATATTTTTCTGTTTCTCTTCAACTAGGTTTGGGAGCAAAAGCAAGTCAACAACCACACTTGGGCATCAGGGCAACTTCTTTGCCTCTCCCATGCTGAAGTGAAGCACTGGGGCTTGGCCTTGGTGTGGCATTTGCACTCCAACGAGCACACAAACACAGGTTGTCTCCGTGGCCCTTGGCAGCTTCTCCAATAACATGTTTTACCTTTTATCTTTCAGCTTAACCAAGACTTACAATGGGATTTGACTGTGCAATGTATTTTTATTATCTAAGGCTGTGCTGATGTATATTGGTGAAGGAAGTAATGAGCAGAATTTGGTCAGTGTGGATCATTAAAAAAACTAGAGGAACTAACTGAGGTTTTTTCACTACCATCTGGTTTTCTCCCCACGTGAAGTGGAACAGCTGTGCAAAGAGTGTAAGCCTTGGGGGTTTTTAAGACTCCATAGGATGTTTTGGAGACGGCAGTGTCAGAACTTAGCCAGAATCCATCAGCACAGCCTGCAATTCCCAGCTGGCTGCTCGTGCAGCTGGAATCCTGAGGATGGCAGTGTTGGATTGCTCTGCTGGGCAAAGACTGCTCGTTATCCCCCGCGGGAGGGGCTGGGCCTGCTCTGCAGAAACGTTTCCTCCTGTGTTTACAAGACTTTGTAGAGGACTGTGTAGGTACTAACCCACAGGATTCCTGAGCAGCCTGAGAGAATTAGTGCTGCTCATGCTGGGAGGGGAAGGAGGGTGGTTCAGTGGGAGAGGGAGGCTCTGCTTTCTTAGGGTGAAATCTGTGTGTAAAAACATCTGTGTAACACACAGAAGTTCATGAAGTGACTGTTTTAATTGAGCTCTGGAAAACTATTCTGACTGTGCAGTTAAGTAAATCCTTTGTGTTCTACATGACCCACAGCTCTGTTCTCTGGCTGATGCTTTTCCTTGTGCTGTGCAGTTTGAACCCAGGCACGTGCAGCCTTGCAGGAGGTTGTGGTGCTGCACTTGAGAAGCTCTTGCCCCAGGGACTGAGCCTGGTACTTAGCTGGGTGCAGGATTGTGCCTTGGGCTGTGGCTCGTGGTTCAGAGGAGGAAAGAGAACAGTTTTGGTCCCCAGTATTGTATCAGGTGGTGAAATAGCCTGGGGTGGATATAGTGGCCTGGGGTTTTACTCTTTCTGGAGAAATAAGGTCTGGAGGGTGAAGTTTTCTCCTGCCCCACTGCTGGGGCCCCTGGGCAGGTGGGAGTTTCTGGCCTGTGGTGTTCTCATACACACAAGATGTGTGTGATGGGGGCACTAAAGTGTGTTCCCCTTACCCAAATCCTGTCTTGGAAACACTTGATCCTTTCCTGGAGCATCTCCCAAACTGCCTGCTCCTTGTTGGAGCAGAAACAGGGTCATTTGCAGTGGGATATCTGCTCTGGTCCCCATGGCTCTGCTCTGTGGGGACAGAGGGGTTGGGGACACCCTAGCAAGCCACCCCACCTTGTGTCCTGCTGGGCACAGAGGTGGCCCTGGCAGTGCTTGGGAACCTGAGTGGGATGGGGAGTGTGCCCATCTGTGCCACCAGGGAAGGGCACGATTTCCAAGTGGGATGTACAGGGAGACAGGGCACTGCAGAGGGAAGGGTCTGGGGGTGGGTGGAGAATGAGAATGGTGAGGAAAGGGCAGGTCTTTGGCATTCTCTGGTTGCTTCAGGCTACAAGGATATCCCAACAAGGAGAAATTACACAAGAGAAATCTTTATTGATCAAAGACTATGCAGAAATTCACTCTGACCCTAGAAGCATTGCTGAAAACAACATTCCTGGTGGGTGCCAGGAGAAGAGCAGGTTCCTGTGTGCTGTGCAGGGTTAGTGCAGGTAAAATCACCACCGTGGGCTCCTCACTGAGCAGGATTTGATGTGTTTGGACAGGCCAGTGAGCACCTCTATGTCCTGTACACAACTGCTTCACCTTCAGCACGACCCTCCGTGATCTCACGGAGGAACTCACCTCCTCATGTGTTAGAAACGATGGAATTCTCATAGGTGATGAGTTAATTTCTCACTCTGCCCAAAGCAGCACTTAGTTCTGATCCACAGCAGCTCCAGGTCTCCTTGGGAGGAGCAGGACACGACAGGGTGTGTGAGTTTAGGGCAGTTGGTTATCCATGGGTAGGCTGAATTTGATGGATGAGCGGTGGGGGATGGTGTGAGGAACTGATGGGATTTTAGTCTTGCTGCAGGAGACACAGAGAGACAGACACTAGCTCTAGCTAGCAGAAAGCTCTCCCCACACTGGAGCTGCCCCACTAAGCTTTCTCAGCGAACTCCATGGGGAGGCTGTAGTTGACGTCGTCGATGAAGCGGAAGATGAAGTTGGCGTCCTCGCTGGAGCAGTTCAGGGCCATCTTCCTCATCATCCGCGCGCACTCGTGCCGCACCCCTGAGTTCAGAGGGATCTTGTAGCAAACCATGAACTTTTCTAGTGCCTCATGCCGTGATCTCTTCTTGTAGAGGCAGAACTTTCCCCAGTTGTGATTCAGGACTTGGCGGCCTCTGAGGCTCAGGCTCTCGGATTGCTCCTGCAGCTCCTTGTAGACATCCTCTTCCTGTGACGGGTTTCTTGCGCCGTACAGCTCTGCTAATTGCAGCTTTGTGAGCGTAAGGTCACAGTCTGGGTGATCCTGAACAATTTGCTCGAGGTGCCTGATGGCTGCATCCAATACATCATTCTTGTCTTCATCCTCTGCTGTAAGCCACAGTTTTTTATAGCACTTGGCCAAGGCCTGGTAGAGGAGATGGTAATCTGGATTCTCCTGCAGGGCTTGCTTCAGGATCTCCACTGCTCGTGCTGCAGACTGTGACAGATAGTACAGAGCTGAACGTTTGAGGACCTCGGGATCAGAGCTGTTCTCTGCACATTCCTTTATCAAGTCCATTGCTCTTTTTTTCTCATCCATTCTTTTAAACAGGTCAGCTAAATAGATTTTCGCTCTGTAGTCATTTGGCTGCCTATCAATGGTCCTTTCCAACTGGCTTATGGCTCTGCTTGCAATATTACTACTCCAGAAATAATTTGAGGAGGCAAAAAGGGCTTGCCCAAGCCCAGCATGGAAATCATCATTGTCTGGTTCAAGCATCAAGGCAGCCTCAAAGCACTCTCGGGCCCGCTCCCCATTCTGGGATCTGACAACCAGGAGGGACCAGCCTTTCTGCACCTGGATGTGTGGGATCAGCCTTGCATCCCAAGGAGCTGGGCAGAGCTGCTGGATTTGTTCCAGATACTCTTCAGCCTCCTGATATTCAGCCTGGAGGTATTTAATCCAGGCGTAGTTGCCGCAGGTGATCAGAGAGGTGGCAGTAGCCGCTTGCTGCTGCTCCTTGTTTCTGCTGTGCTCCTCAGCAGCTCTGAGGCTTTGCAGAGCTTCTTCACACTGGTTGTTGAGCACGTAGAGGTATGCCTGGAGGCCCAGGAGGGCTGCCTGGTTCTGCTGCATGGTGTGCCTCAGCTCCACTGCCACCTTCTGCAGGATGTGCGTGGGGTTGAAGCAGCCTTTGACACCCAACTCCCAAGTGAAGTGACATTGAAGGGCATCCAGCCTCTCCAGCAGTTGCTCGTTGCTGCAAAGAGGAAAGGAGGGTGGGTTATGCAAGGGCAGCATGTGCAGGGTCCCCACACAGAAAGGAAAGGAGCTCTGAGCTGTTTGTGGAACAGGAGAGGAGGGAGAGGTGGAGGATGGGGCTCTCCCCACTTGCTCCACAAATCCCTTGCACTCAGAACCTAAAGAGTTCTGAGGTGGCCTCAGGGGTATTAGCAGCTCCTCAGGGGTTTATTGCTAATCATTCAGGAACTCAGACAGAAACCAGACCCAGTGGTGACAGAAAAAACAGAGGTAAAATACAGGACACAGAATGAATCTGCAGGTTAACGTGAGGCTTCAGCTCTGGGAAGAAAAAATCCAGTACAGAGAGTAGTAGAAAATGCATTAAAAAAAGAATAGGCTCGAGAACCTAAAGAGTTCTGAGTGCAAACTGAAGAACTAAGAACCTGCAAATCTTTGTGCCAATCAGCCTATTTGCAGGCTAAAGAACCTGCACATCTTTGTGCCAATCAGCCTATTTGCAGGGAACTACCTCTGAGGCTTCATTCCTGGCTTGCTCTTCTCCAAAGGGAAGTGCCTGGAGCCAGAGCTGCAAAGGTCCTGGGATGGACTTCAAAAAGGGGAAGAGTAAAGCCAGTCCCAACCACGTGTTGCAGACTGCTTTGCCTCCCCAGGAGGAGGAAAAGTGGGTTGTACCTTCAGCTGAAGGGTGAAGAAATGGCTCACCAAAGAGTCAGGAGATGTTGGACTAGAGCAGCATCTCTTCCATGAGGAAAGGCTGAGAGAGCTGGAGCTCTTCAGCCTAGAGAAGAGTAGGCTAAGAGGGATCTTAGACCTCTATAAATAGCTGAAGGGAGAGTGCAAAGAAATGCTAAACCTCCAGAGCAACCTGCCCTGAATGCATCCCTCAACAAGAGCATCTTTCCAGCCTTAACCCCAGGGAGGCTCTGCCCGAGGATGCTCTGCTGAGTAACCCCAACCCACTCCCTCCAGAGCAGACGCTGTGCACTCACCTCATGTTTGCTGTCGGGGCTGGTGTTGTTGTCCTGGAGATGTTTTGGCTGCACCTGGTCCAAGCTGCAGCAGACACCGAGCTGTGAATTGTTTGCTTGCCCTTTAATAGAGTTGTCCCTTTGGGCGGAGTCTGACCGAATGACTCGATCCCAAGGAAACGAAAGTGAAAAAGGAAAGCAGCTTCAACTGGAAAAAGAAACTAAGCCTGTCTCCCTGGGTGGAAGTTAGCACATTCTCCTCCCAAAACACAAGAAAGGGAACGCCGTGGTCGGAGCAGCAAGACCTGAACTCTCTGCTGAAAAGGACTTTGTCGTGTTAAAGCACCTAGAGAATAATTTGGGTGAGACACTGGGGGCTGTGGAAAGGAACTGTGACAGAAGGAGCCAAAGGCTCCGTGGGACTCTGCAGCACTTTGGGGCTTGTCTGGGTCAGCCCTGACCTGCCTCAAACCTAGTTTGTTCAGCTTGTTCCCCTGTAACAGCTGCTCAGCAAACAGCAAGTGAATTTGCAATTTTTTTTAACTGAGGTGTAGTAGCTGTGCCTGGGACACATCCCAAGTCCTTCCTCAAGGAGCAGGTAGTGCTGACAGAGCACAGGGTGCTGAGCCCCAGGGCTGTTAGCAACTCATTAGGGTTTTACTGCTAATCATCCAGGAACTCAGACAGAAACCAGACCCAGAGGGGACAGAAAAATCAGAGGTAAAATACAAGATACAAAGTGTATCTGAGGGTAATGTGAGGCTTCAGCTCTGGGAAGAAAGATTGCAGTACAGACAGTAGTAGAAAATGCATTAAAAAAAAAGAATAGGCTGAAGTAGACTCTAAACAGAAGAGGAAGAAACCATCAGCCTTAGAATCATTTCCCTCCTAGCACAGAAGGAAAAATCCATCAGTTTCCTTTCCCCTCTTGGGATGATGCTGAATCACTGCAGCAGTGCAAGGGAAGGAGGGGGAATGTCTCACTGGAGGAGGGAGGGAGATGCTTTCATCTTCTGGGTGTAGTTTTGATGATTGCTGAAAACCTTCAGTAGAAAATGAGTCCTTTGGCTGTTGGTGTCAGCACTGCTGGCTGAACAGGGAGTGACTGATAACAACCAACGTGGCTTTCCCAGGGGCAAGTCCTGCCTGACCAATTTTGTGGCCTTCTGTGATGGGGCCACAGCATTTCTAGATGGGGCAGAGCAAGGGGAATCATCTCCCTGGAGTTATGCAAAGTGTTTGACACTGTCCCACACGACATCCTTGTCTCTGAACTGGAGGGACATGGATTGATGTGTGGAGCAATTGGTGGGTGAAGAACTGGCTGGATGGTCACACACAGAGCTAGATGGGGCAGAGCAAGGGGGATCATCTCCCTGGAGTTATGCAAAGTGTTTGACACTGTCCCACACGACATCCTTGTCTCTGAACTGGAGGGACATGGATTGATGTGTGGAGCAATTGGTGGGTGAAGAACTGGCTGGATGG